AAGTGAATTAAATTGCGTGTTTCCAAACATCATATGCATGCATAATTGTGTAATTTAAACGAGCACGTCTATTTTTACAGGCTGTTTTTAGCGGTGTTTAGGTCTGTGGAATGTTTCTCTAGCTAACTGTGTTAGCATTATCAGGAGCTTGTTTTGCACACAGCTTAGATATTAAATAGAGTTTTTTCTCTTTTATACATTTTATATATGATGTATTGAAGCTCAGCCCTGGTTAGTGTTTTGCCTGGTTTTAGTAGCAAAGGCAGCTCGCGATTGTTTTTAGAAGAGCAGTTTTGTGTGTTGTGGATGTCGTATGTGTGCTTTATCACAATACAAGATTTCTAGACATTGCTGTTTTATTTATTCATTTTCACACATCAATTTTTAAGCAATGCTTATAACTATATAGGCACTCTATTATTTTATTCAACTCCCTTGTAATATATTTGCTCTCCAGTCTTGCAAAGTACTATAATAGTCTTCTTTCCTCATGTTTTTCCAGCGTTATTCGTCTGATCATGCAGTACCTGAAGGAAAACAGCTTGCAGCGGACTTTAGCAACGCTCCAGGAGGAGACCACGGTGTCTCTCAACACAGTGGATAGTATTGAGAGTTTTGTGGCAGATATCAACAGCGGTCACTGGGACACTGTGCTTCAGGCTATACAGTCCCTCAAACTCCCTGACAAGACCCTCATTGACCTTTACGAACAGGTGAGAGGCAGATCAAATCAGGATTTTTATAAGGCGGCTGTTATGGTGTGGCTCATTTTGAATATTGATTGAGCTGTGAAATTTTTGCAGGTTGTTCTTGAGCTGATTGAGCTTCGAGAGCTGGGAGCTGCCAGATCTTTGTTGAGGCAGACGGACCCCATGATCATGCTGAAACAAACCCAGCCTGAGCGATACATCCACCTGGAGAATCTTCTAGCACGCTCTTACTTTGACCCCAGAGAGGTGAGGGATCTAAAACAATGCACTTCACAAAAACCTAGCAATTTATACTTTACATATTTAAACATATTGCATATGAAATAGAAATCCATGTATCTAATAGTTCATGCAGTGTTTCCCTACAAGGTGTTGTGAGACTATTTCTAGGGGGGCTCAGGGACATGCTCTTCCATAAAAATTTATTTTGTACATTTTAAAGTTAAATGCATCGACCTGGTGCACTTGGAAAGCAAAATTAAGAGCACCATCCCATTTTTCCACAGAATAAAAATTCAAGCGTTTGGAACAACATGAGAGCGTAAATGATGACAGAATGTTCAGTTTTTGGTGGACTGTCCTAGTAATGTTTTCTGTAGGTTTTTCTGTTGGCATATCATTACAAATTTAGTGAAATGCTGTAATCATCAACGCTGTCCATCCAGTTGCAACATTTTGTGTTTCTATAAGCTTACATTATTTTGATTTTAGTTTGATTGCCAAAATAATGGTGCATAATTTTTACTTTTATGTTATGAGAAGTATAAAGATATTTTCGGTTCATTATGAAACTGTGGTACGACAGATTAGATTGGCAGGTAATTAATAGAACTCCTGCTTGGATTTTCACAAACAGTTTCATTTCCATTGTGGATGAATTCTGAGCTGATATATCTATTTTTAGGCCTATCCTGATGGCAGCAGTAAGGAGAAGCGTAGAGCAGCTATAGCTCAGGCTCTTGCTGGTGAGGTCAGTGTGGTACCACCGTCACGTCTGATGGCTCTGCTTGGACAGGTGAGTTAAACTGCCCTTGCAACAGGATGTTAGTGCAGTAATGCATTAGACATTGCACACTGGTCTCAGAATTACACTGGAGGGATAGTTCACATTACTGAAGTTGATGGTCTGTCTCTGTCTCTAAAGTCTCTGAAGTGGCAGCAGCATCAAGGTCTTCTGCCTCCCGGTATGACCATTGATTTGTTCAGAGGTAAAGCAGCTGTGAAAGATGTCGAGGAGGAGCGATTCCCCACTCAGCTGGCCAGACACATCAAGGTACAGGAACCACAGGAACATGATACAGTGGAGAGTTGTTACTCACCTCAGTGTGTGTTTTTTCATTGTAGTTTGGTCAGAAGTCTCACGTCGAGTGCTCACGCTTCTCTCCTGATGGCCAGTATCTGGTTACTGGATCTGTGGATGGATTTATTGAAGTATGGAACTTCACTACTGGAAAAATCAGAAAGGTCTGTGAATCTGCACTGTGACTTCTGCATCTGCATTTGTAGTTTATGTATGTTTATTCATGGATTGCGTGTCTTGTGTGTTTTGGACAGGATCTGAAGTATCAGGCTCAGGATAACTTCATGATGATGGATGACGCAGTGCTGTGCATGTCTTTCAGTCGGGACACAGAGATGATGGCCACAGGAGCACAGGATGGCAAGATTAAGGTCTCATACACACTATATTAAAACTGGACAAATTATTAAAACCTTCAGTGCTCATTGATAATTAGTTTAACACAGAGATGCCCAAACCAGGCCCCTGAAGCTCTTTCATTTGGCCCAGCTTGCCATATCATCATATCTTCATTTCTGATTATTATTTCTTATTTTGTATTAAAACGTAGAAAATCTAAGCGATCAGATATAAATCTGAAATGATAAAAGTTTGTTTACTTAATATGTGTGTTTACTGTGCATATTTATTATGCATATATAAAGGCACACACATACATGCATATATTTTAAATATATATATGTAATTTATATTATAAATAAATATAAATATTTTGCATATAAATATAACATTTTTCTTAAATATTTACATGCATGTGTGTGCATTTATATATACATAATAAATATGCACAGTACACACACATACTCTATATAGAAGTAAACAAACTTTTATTTTTGATGCGATTAATTTATTTATTCTGATATTTATTCTTTTATATTAATAATGACATGAATGATTATTCATACTTTTATTTTATTAATAGTTTTTATTAATATCTTGAATTCGTTTTTATTTTTATATTTTTTGTTTTCACTTTAATCAAGTTTTTGTCGTATATATTACATTTTTTGAATACATGTCTACACAGTTTTTATTCTTTTTAGTTAAACTACAAATAAGATAATTTATATTTTATTTTGTATAAAAACAACCTATTAAAATATTTTTTTAAATACAATTTTTGTACAATAAAAATTAAAAAGATGCAAACATGATTCTGTTTGAATGGCAGATCAGAGGGTTACTTGCCATTTTCTGCATAAAATGTGCTATATTTTATTTTTGCAGTAGGAAGGCTGATTTATTGGTTATTTTTAATGCTGGATGGGTTGTCTTTTTTTTTTTCTCCCGTTTTTCAGGTGTGGAAGATCCAGAGTGGCTTACTTACCATTTTCTGCATAAAATGTGCTATATTTTATTTTTGCAGTAGGAAGGCTGATTTATTGGTTATTTTTAATGCTGGATGGGTTGTCTTTTTTTTTTTTCTCCCGTTTTTCAGGTGTGGAAGATCCAGAGTGGCCAGTGTCTGCGGCGATATGAGCGTGCTCACAGTAAAGGTGTCACCTGTATCAGCTTCAGTAAAGACAGCAGTCAGATTCTCTCTGCATCCTTCGATCAGACCATTAGGTGAGCGTCTCTTTTCAGTCCTCAGTGTCCACAGCACATTTCACTTATGCTTGATTTTTCACCAGGATTCATGGATTAAAATCAGGCAAGTCTTTGAAGGAGTTCAGAGGTCATTCTTCATTTGTGAATGATGCCACACTTACTCCTGATGGTCATCACATCATTAGTGCCTCATCTGATGGAACTGTGAAGGTGCAGATGTTAATGCAATATCTCGACTCTCTCAAATAAATGCTTGTGTGTTTTGGTTTAACAGCTTCTTTCTCCCAGGTCTGGAACGTGAAGACCACAGAATGCTCCAGCACATTCAAGTCTTTGGGCACGTCTGCGGGAACCGACATCACTGTTAACAACGTGATCCTGCTTCCGAAAAACCCTGAGCATTTTGTTGTGTGTAACCGATCCAACACTGTTGTCATCATGAACATGCAGGGCCAGGTGAGAAGGTCAAGTGTGGTGTTAATGAAAAAGGACATGAGAAGAATATGAATCTCTTAGTCTTCTTATGGTTGTTCCTGTTGCAGATTGTGAGGAGTTTCAGCTCTGGTAAGAGAGAGGGTATGTCTGAGGGGAACTTGATGTCTTTAGAACAGTTTAGATGGTATTTTTTCTTTTCCTCTTGCCTCTGTATAATGCATATTTACAGCGGAAACCAATAGTTGCCTCTAATTTTACATGGAAAGAGCACAGACAAAGCATTATTTTATTTATATGAAGAGATTTATTTTATTTGTGTTATTTATTTGATTTGGGGCTTGTTTTAAAATTTCAATGTAGTTTTGTTATTTACATTATATTTAAATTTAGTCATTAAGCAGACACTTGTATCCAAAACGACTAACAAATGAGGACAATAGAAGCAATCAAAACCAACAAAAGAGCAATAATATGCAAGTGCTATATAAGTATATTATTATAGTGTTATATTTCAATTTCACAAAGAAACGTGCAGCATTTTGTCCAAGCAAAAATAAAAGGACACATTTAATTTATAATTTGTCTTAAATCTCGTTTTGTTAAAAAAAAATCGTGAATCGAATCGTGAGTTGAGTGAATCGTTACATCCCTACTACATAAGGAAACTGATCAGATTCATGTCAATTCTTTATAGCACCGTGGAACCCAAACTATGCCAAACGTAGCACTAAACTCTTAAAATGCACATTTGATGCTGTCGGATTCACTTGAAATCAGGAACTTGAAATATGTCCATATTTACTCATAAAATATCCATTATATCCATCTTACAATTTACATGTATATATTCAGATTTATATTAGTATTACATGTTTTTGTTGTGTCCTCAGCTCACCTCTCGTCTTATCAACAATGATGATGATTTGAGTAAGTGCGTTCAGGAGGGCGATGTCCTCGAATGGGCTTCCCTCCTTCAGACTGTGTTTCTTTCCCTCTGCTTTCCTACGATTCTTCGACGACCTCCTGCAGATCAGTTAGCAAACTTCAACCTCGACATTTGAGCTGCTGACAGGTTATAAGACACTAAAACAGTGAAGCATCTTCTTTTAAAACATTGGAAAATATTAGGCTACAGATCCCAATTTGAACACTATGTGTGACTGTTATAATAAATGTATTCATAGAACTGTTGTGATTGTTATCATCTTATTTTAAAAATGCATAAAAATGTTACTGAGCAGCTGACGAGTAACAGTTTCAGCGCAGATTTTCCTTGCGCTTTGGACTTTGAACCCTGGTGTCGGGAGCTCGTGCAGTGCTGTTTGAATACATGCAATTCGTGCATGTATTAGAAAACAACGTTCTGCAGTTTATTTACTAATGGTTTGAGGCCACTTCACGATTTCAATCATCATACAGTAACCAGTAACAACTACCCTTCCTCTTCTCATCGGAGACATGAGATGCAGCACTAAACAGTCTCTTGCTGTTGGTGTTTGTAATGATTTTTGAGTCTTTCTTGGACAATTTTAAATGCTTCCTCACTGCCAACATGTTTGCTGCATTAGTGCGCGCCTCTATTTGTTCGCGTCACATCATTGTTCGGTACAATTTATTCGGTCTTTTACGCTTATTTGCTATTTTCGGCTGAACCATTTTTGGTTGCCCAACATTCAGTGCATCCCTAGTGTTTGTATATTTGTGTTAGCAAAGATGTCACTCACGATGAAATGCGAGAGTTGCTGCGGGAGTATTTTGAGCCAAGATGGCTGCCGGTCAAGACGCTGCTGGCCTCTGAGTAGAGCTCAGCGTCTGCACAGTCGGGGCCGTCCTCATCTGAAACACGAAGAGACTGTCAGTACGCAACAGGAAATAGTTTAAAACCAAAAGTGTACTGATCACTGAACATATGTTATTCAGGAAAACAATCTAAATAAACACTAATATCAAAGCTCTCCATTAAAAAAAATAATTAAAAAAATGTATATATTCAGTGTGATTAAACATGCAATATTTCTTCTAAAGGACACATGCAGTGTCTTTGGAAAAAACGAATGATATAAATGAATCTGATTAATATTTCCTGTTTACCAAATAACTCCAGTCTGGCCTTGGCTTTGAGTTCTCGGACCACAGTAAGGCGGTTTTTGTGACGAATGAACAAAGCCTTCTGGGACTCCAGGAAAGACGTCTGATTACTGTGAGCTACAGGCAACCAATTATACAGTTAAGAAACAGCACAAAATAAATACAACATTAACAGGTCAATGACAAAAATAAAACATTTTAATGTTTACCATCTAGAAGAGCAGACTTCAGATCAGTCTCAATGATATCCTGTCTGTTGTACAAATAAATCTGAAATAAGAAATAAAAGAAATTAAGGTTTTTATACAGCTACTGACCAAAAAAATTAATAATTTTATATAAATATATAAAATGTCCAATACAGTTCTAAAGTATAGGAACAATATTTTTAAAAAAAAAATTTTTTTAAGTATCTTATGCTCACCAAGATTTAATTTGCTATATTTTAATATAGCAAATATATATTTTAAAATGTAATTTATTCCTGTGATGCAAAGCTGAATTATCAGTGTTGAAACCCATTATGCTGCTTAAATATTTTTTGGAAGCTGTGATAAATTTTTTCCATGATTCTTTGATGAATAGAAATATTTAAAAGAACAGCATTTATTTGAAATAAAAAAAACTTATAATATTACAGATATTTTTAGCCACTAAACCCTGCAAAACCCTAAACGTTTGAATGATTATCTATATATAGATAGATAGATAAATAGACAGTTGCTAGAGAAAAAAAATTTTTTTTTGTGTTTATGCAGTTTAAGGTTAAAAAAACAAATTTTTTTCCACATACTGTACATTATGCAACAACAGTGCCCTACTCTACACTGCTCAAAAATATAAAAACTCTTTAAATATAAAAACGTACTTACAGTCTTTGAGTCAAAACAGCCGGCATTGTAGTCTACTCTACCAGGATCAGGAAACGGTCCTCCATAAAATGTGCTGCACACATCTGAATATTTGGGTTGAAGTGTTCTGGAACAGTGTTGTAAATACAATTTAACCACTGATTTCTAGTTGTGTCCATTTTTGGAAGACCAAACAAAGTAGTTTCGCTTTCACAACGAAACAGCGTCACACACGGCGGCCTACAGTGAGCAGAGGCCGGGGGCTAGCGTGAGGAATGGCCGGAGTTACTAGAGTGAGCAGAGGCCGGGGACTAGAGTGAGGAACGGACGGAGGGCTAGAGTGAGCAGAGGCGGCGGGCTTGAGAGCGGCGCGTCCGTAGGGCTTGCGGCAACCACATGTGACGACCCCGGGCTGGACTTCGCTTCGTCCTCGGTGAAAGCCGATCCGGCAATCCACAGCACAAAGTTGTAGTATTTCCTCAACGACCAGCACGGATCAGCTCTAGGCATGACGAAAAACACAGCGCCTTCACGACATGGCGGCGGCAACAACAATACTACAGCGAGAATAAAAGTTATGCCTTCTTTCTTTGTGTGAACATTTGGGCGGCGTTATGCAAATCTTCCCACATCGTGACGCAGACATGTGGGGGCATGTTAGAACGAGCCGTTTTAGGTAGGCGTGGTTGACTCGTACCTTTTATAAAGAATATCTCTTTGGATTTGAGACTTTAGTCTTTGCAACTTTACAGATCTTCTTTATGCACCAAGAGCTTATAACACTTCAAAGAGAAAGGAAAAATTAAAAAACGCTTCATATGACCCCTTTAAGCAAAAAATTCCAATCAAGTAATCCAGTAATAATAAAACATTAAAACCTGCTGATAATAACTGGTAAAGGAGGAAAGTGATGAAAGAACAGGCTCACCAATCTGAGTGCTTCTTCCCATGCAGCTCCCTGTATCAGAGCAGAGATGGCCTCCTCACAGTCCTGACAACATACAGGCATGAGCACATGACACAGCAGACAACAGTCTTGGAAACAATGATGACTATGAAACATACAGTGTACCTTGGCATACTGCTCCAAACACAGGGCGGCTTGCGTGTGCCTCCTGGCCTCCAGAAGTTTCTCTGAAAACATCAGACATACAACATGGCTTCTGGATATTCATGATCTCATGGAAACATGCATACATGACAGAGATCTCCACCTGCCAGGTCTCGGGCGAGCACTGTCAGCTGTTCAGGTGGTAATGGGATGTGTGTGGCCACAGCGAGGGCGTTTCTCCAGCTCGTACAGCTGACGAAGGCCTGCAGGGCACGGGCGTTCTCTCCACATCTCCACAGCAACAATCCTGCCTGCTCCGCCTGCTGCTGCTCCACTAGATGCTCTGCATAGGCCACGCTCAAGGTCTGATCACATCACAGGGGTCAAGGTTCAAGATCATGTCATCACTGCTACAGTTAAAACATTACCACACAAGCTAAATATTTAAGTCAGTTCCGCTGTGGCCTTTCAGGCAGGAGTTTATAAAATAAAGCTTGCCTTGTATTGCTCACTGTTTGAAGAATAGAGCTCAAGAGCATCACTGTACAGTCTCTGATCCTTCACCAAGTTTAACAATTCTGTGAAATGTTCTTCACCTTAAAAACATAAGGCAGAACAGGAGAACCAAACAGAGATACAGATGGTGTAAAAACAGAAGTATTTGCTGTTGGATTGCTCATGGATGTCCAACAAGGCTCTTACCACACTTGCTGAGGTGATGTAAGGCCTTCCTGTATCTCTTGAGGTGTTTATCGATGGTGTAGCGCTGGTAGTTCGGCTCCAGGGTTTTCAGCATGTTCAGAAATGGTAGGTACTCTTTAGGGTCCTACATGTTTGAGGGAAAAAAAAACTATAAACCACTGCAAAACAGTGTCTACAACAGATGTGCTAAAACAGAAAAGCTGTCTACACGGGAAATGCCTGTTGTAGTGTTACAATGCAATATCTGTCAACTAATGGCCAAATGGAAAATTTTATTTTCAATGTGTTGTACATTCCTTTTATAATATAAAATAATGTAATTGCAATATAAAATAATATACAGTATAATAATAATATAACGTTTTATAGTAATACAAATATGTGAAATGGCTTCTTATATGTGAACAAGAATTGTATTCATTACACATTTATTACATTTTCTGTATGTTTTATAATATAATATTTTTAACATAATACAATAAAATCAAATACCCAATGTGCAATTGCTGCACTTATGAAATTGTGAATTTTATTTATGTGTTTACTGAATTGTGTTTGTTAATTTCATACAAGTTTTGTATGTAAAATGATGAACACAATAATATAATATAATATATGAGCAATATCACTCGAGTATGAGAGCGATACCGGCTCTATATCAGCATGGCTGTGATTGGCTGTGCCAGAGGCGATAAAAATCGTTTTATAATGTCTTAATATAATATAATAAAAATGTGCAATGGCTGCTTATACAAAAAATTACACATTTTATTATGTTTACTGAATTGTATTTGTTAATTTCATACAAATTTTGTTTGCAAAACAATGAATATTTAATATAAGTGAAATTCTGAAATTGTTAATAAAAAAATTTTAACAACATAATAATAATATGTTTCATATGCAAAAATGGCCGGTTATGTGAAATTTTAAATTAAATTATGCATTTACTGAATTGTACTTGTTCGTCTTGTAATATAAAACAATATAATACAGCAATACAAATATTAGAAATGGCAGCTCATATGTGAAAAGATTAATTTTATTCATTTAATAATTTTTTTATTATATTATATTAC